AGGTTTGTTCGCAAGTGGTCGCATGTCATAAGAGATGGATGCGACGCAGAGCGGTGGAGATAGGTGCAGTGCAGTGGATGAGATCGGAAGAACGAAGATCAAAGCAGAATATTGTGGTTTCGGAACGTACGAAGAACGGTGCCTTTCCAAAAACGGCCTCTCCCACGGAGTACTTGGTAACGCCCGGCCCCACTGCCACCACGTTGCCTGCCAGATCTAACCCTGCATGAACAAAGGAAATTTAGGAAAACCAAACAATGATTCCGGATTCGAGAGTGCGTTGAGAAGGGTGAATGACAAGGTGGCGAGAAAAGAAATGCATGCAGGTAGTCGCCAGCAGCGGGGGAACCGCACATCCAGGTAAGGGGATACAAGTAATTGAGGACACAAGGCAGTGAGGACACAAGGCAGTGAGGACACAAGGCAGTGAGGACACAAGGCAGTGAGGACACAAGGCAGTGAGGACACAAGGCAGTGCGGACACAAGGCAGTGCATGCACAGCTCTCACCAACTGTGGCAGGGAGTCGCAGCAGCAGGAAGGGGATGAGACTAAAGTGCACCTTTCAAATAATTGCCGCGTTCGAAAGCATTTCTTAAATACATTCATCTTCTGCAGCTGCTTGCACGCTTTCTCACCAGCTGTGGCAGGGAAGCGGCGCGGCAGGAAGGGGATGAGGCCCGACTGCACCTTCCAGTCGCCCGGGTTGATGCTCGCCGCGCGCACGCGAACCAGCACCTCGTCCTTGCTCGGCATGGGCACGGGGACGTTTTTATTCAGCTGATGAAGTGAGGAGGAGTGAGGGATGGGGAGAAAACATTAAGGTTGAAGTTGCTCGCCGCGCACACGCAAAGCAGCACTTCTGCCCTTTAGGCGCCTCAAAATCAGACTCCTGCCCGGCTTGGACACGGGGACGTTGCCATACTGGTGAAGTGAAGGAGGTGCGGGACAGGGATAATGCAGCAGCAAGCAGATGATAGGGAGCTTCGCATGAAGCCTATCACCCGCTCTCTCACGAGCACCTCGCCCTTGCTCGGCATGGGCAGAGAGATGCTGTCGTTTAACTGGTGAAGTGAGGGAGATGGGGATGGAAGAAACCATTCAAATCTTGAAGTATCACTCGCTCGCCCTTGCGCACGCGAACCAAAGAAGCGTCATGCTTCTGATCATGATGCGGGTACGTCGATAATCTGATCTGAAGCATCACATCGCGATGCGACGATGGCAGCGGAATGGAATGCCCGTGAGCTACCGAAGCATGTCTGGCGTACGAAAGCAAGGGAAAGCAAGGAGACGTGGTAAGCATGAGGAAGCTCGTGAATCGGTGCAGAAAAGCAACTGCTACAAGAAAAGAAAAGAGCCTTGGATGATTCGGGCACGGGGTGCAATGAAACGCACCGAGAGAGCATCAGCCTCGCCGCCGTGCTTGAAGTACTGCCACGCGCACATGGTCTCCGGTACGTGCGGCATTTGCGAATCGACATGGTTTCCGTCAGTCGTCATGGAGAGTCAGACCGCGACGAGCGCGCGCGACTAACGGATTACGTCGCAGCGGCAAATCGCCGTTGAAACAGATATTGGAGCGTCGGTGGCAGATGATGGGGGCAGAATCCGTGCGCAGATGTTGGCAGCGATTGAGATAGCTTATTAAACCAGCTCGTGAGTACGTTGCGAGATGTCCGATCGTGGGAGTATAGATTAGGAATGCAGGAAAATGCGGATAGCATATGATGGAACTGCTGCTGATGGTCTGCCTATTTGAGCTATTCGAATTGCGCGGAAGCATTGTGCGAAATAGCGCTGCGTTCGCGTTGGTTACCATGGCTTGTCTGGCCCTTGCCCTAATTGTGGACAATCAGATAAAGCCTGGTTCGACGTCAGCAGGCCGCAAACATCACGTCACACAGGTCGCACCTCGGCTATTTCAAGGAATCACGAGGAAAGAAGGGAAAACATGCGAGCGGTAACAAGCAAACAGAGGTTCCATAACGCTTATGGTGAACATTGCAATGTTGTTGGGGTTATGAATTGTTACGTGTTGTATAAAAAAGGGTGTCCAAGATTCAATAACGCGGAAGTGATTACAACTACTGATTGACAAATGAATCCTAGCACAAATATAAAGAAGGTTAGCTACCGTAGGTCGATGTCGTGGGACCGCGAATAGTTGGGTGCAGGTTCGGGGTTACGGCATGTTCCTACGACCCCTTATTAGGCCAACCTCTTATCAAGCTCGCTACTTTTACCACTGAAATTTTCCTAACCCCAAAAACCCTCACTACTTTTACCAGGCAAGGCTGACAAGAGGTTTGCCTGATACGAGCGTAGGAACATGTCCATAGGTAAACCGTAGGTAAAGCGAGGGACGTTCGGAGGGCGGGGTCATCACACCGAACCTAGATGTTTGAAAGTCAGAGTTGTACGTGCATAGAGTGCCTCAGTAAAGAATTAGATAAATTTTAAGAAAGGTGCTTAACGTCACGCAAGCGTCGACGGACAAGATAGCCCCATAATACCGAGTGGTTTTGTAGCGACTCGGTCGCGACCCACGTATCATCTTCACTCTTGGAATCGACCCATCGCAGTAGGAAATTGACGTAGCATCCTCCCGGCGTCGCACGCACGCAATGATTTAAAATCTTACATGATTGAAGTGCCAAGTCTGCCACAAGCCACACAATTAGCGCGATGCGGAGATAGCTTAATCTAACAGGAGCTAGAATGCGGGCTAGGCACGGGGCAAGAGTGATCTCTGCGTTCGTTCCTTAGTCGTTTCCTTGTGTTCACACTCATTGCTAGCTCACAGGGAGTATTGGCAAGAGTTATACTACGAAAACATGACAACAATGGTTCAGAATGATAGCAACAAAGTTGGCAAAGATGACTACATCAGAACTAGCATGCAAGCAGGACGCGCCAGCGCAGCATGGCCCACCGCGTTCCAGCATGACTTGGTCGACCGCGCTCCAGCAGTGCAAAGTCGCTGCCCGCCAACAATGCCAGTCGACGGCGTGCCAACGCTGCAGCAAGTCGGCTGCACAGTGTTGCACTCTTAAGACAGTAGCACACTCGCTTCGCAGGTGCTCGCAGATGATTGGCCGGCTGTGTCTTCTTACATGTACATCGCACACACTAAATCGTCCTCGTACTGACGACTGCTCCTGATTAGCCACGTCGACCTCGGGATACCACACCGAGGTCGGCCTCGCCACTAACACCTGGGCGATTGTCGGGTGCCTCCGCAGAAACCCGTCGCTCATGTAACCTGGTCGACCGGGCAACCACCCTCGTCGACCAGCTTCTTCTTGTGCCCTTCGACCTCCCAAGTCGACGACCTCCTCTGGTCAACCATACCAAGTCAACTTCACCTTCAGTTGACCAGCTCGAGGTTGACCATCCTCGTAGTCAACCAACCCCAACTCGACCAGTACATCCGTTAGCGGATCACCCAAGTCGGCTTCCCCAAATCGGCGTCACCAAGTTGACACTCTCCACAGGTCGAACGCACCAAGTCAACCTCCCGAAGTCGGCGCCCTCCCAAAATCGGCGCCCTTGCAGTGACACCCATGCAGGTCGACCAGCCCCGTCGACCAGCTCACCCACTGATGCTGGTCGGCTGCACCCCTCACACCCGACCATGAGGTCGGCTCCGCCCAAGCGAGGATGGGGTCGACCACAACTCCCGTTGACACTCCTCTGCAGTGTTCACGCTTGGGCCCCTAGCCCATACGGTTGCACCACTTGGAGAATAGCTTGTCGGCATGCACCCAACACACGGCACGCCGGTCACCATACCAGCCATGCAAGTGGGCATGGCACCTATTACTGTACATCGTCGTTGCCGCCGCCCAGGTCGGCCAGGCGCACTTGGCCGATTGCAGCGGAGCACCGGTTGAAGGCCGAATAGTGCAGCGCCTTCATCAGGAAGTCGGCCGGTTGCTCAGTGGTCGGGATGTACTTCAACGAAAACTTTCCGTGCTTCACCATGTGCTGTAGCCAGGCCTATCGCTGCTCCATGTATTTGAGTTTGCCCATCAACCCTATGCCCTCGGCGATTGTGCTGACCAGCTTGTTGTCCACCCAAAGGACGGTCGGCGTCCCCGCGTCCAACTCCCAGAAATCTGTCAGGAGGAAGCAAAGGCGACGTCCCTCCTTGCCGACTTCAGTGGCCGCCACGTACTCCGACTTGGTCGACGACAGCATCGCGCACTTGATGCCCTGGCTCGACCAAGAGACAGCTGCCTCTCCGTAGACGAACACGTAGCCGCCCGTGTTTGTCCGGTTCTCCTTGTCGCCGGCATCATTGCCGTCCACGTAGCCGACCAGCTTCAGCAACCCTGCTCCACCGCCGAACTCCAGGGCAGTGTCACGCGTGTTGGCGAGGCAGTGGTCGACCTTGCGCTTGTCAAAACATTATAGCTTATACGTTTGTGTAGGCTGTAGTGGGGTAGCCCATAAGGGGTACAACCCAATTAGGGTTAGTACTTGTACCCAACTCTTTCATAGTTCATTCATCCATTCTCACTTCTCGTCATGGTATCGAGCAGGTTCCCGAGTGGGAATACTACCTAGGGCCCACCACGAATTTTTTTTCCTTCCCTGCCCGGAGCGCGCTTCGCTCCTAACCCGAGTAGCGCCTCGAGCCGTCCTTAGTGGCCCCCGTTGGCCGCCCTTACGGCCCCTCGCGCCGCCTTCTACGGCCCCTTACGGCCCCGTCTGGCCCCTTAAGACCCCGTCGCGGCCCTGCTTAGGCCCCTTACGGCCCCGTCGCGGCTCCGCTTTGGCCCCTCACGGCCCCGTCGCGGCCCCGCTTAGGCCCCTTCGGCCTCGTCGCGGCCCCGCTTAGGCCACTCCGCGGCCCCGTCGTGCCCCTCGCGGCCCCGCCTAGGCCCCTTCGCGGCCCCGTCTGGCCCCTTGCGGCCCCGCCTAGGCCCCCTACGCGGCCCTGTCTGGCCCCTTACGGCCCCTCCGCGGCCCTGCCCAGGCCCCTTTACGGCCCCGCTACGGCCCCCTTGCGGCCCCTTTGCGGCCCCGTCGCCACCTGCGGCCCCGTCCCCCACTGCGGCCCCCGTCGCCACCTGCGGCCCCGCCGACACCCGCGGCCCCGCCGCCACCTGCGGCCCCGCCGCCACCTCCGGCCCCGCCGCCCACTGCGGCCCCGCCACCACCTACGGCCCCGTCGCAACCTGCGGCCCCGCCGCCACCTGCGGCCTCGCCGTCACCTGCGGCCCTGCCGCCCAGCGCCGAGCAGACGAACCGCCGGCCAGCTGAGCCGCGCGACCACCCGACCGCCGAGCCGCCCGACCGCCGAGCCGCCCAACAGCCGAGCCGCCCAGCAGCCGAGCCGCCCGACAGCCGAGCCGCTCAGCATTGTGCAGCCGAGCCGCCCAGCAGCCGAGCCGCCCGACAGCCGAGTCGCCCAGCACCGTGCAGCCGAGCTGCCCGACCGCCGAGCCGCCGGAGCAGCCAGATCGCCCCACCTGCCTGCCACTGCACTGCCCTGCCCCACTGGAACCACTGCCTGCCTACTGCTGTTATGGCCTCCCCTAGCGTTCTCACCTTTGACGCTGAGGGTGGGGCAGTGGACTTTGAGGTCTGGGTAGATGATCTGCAGCTTTTCCTGCAGTGCGATAGGGCAGACGACCTCTCCCTGTTTGACCTCACTTTTGGTGCCTCCCCTGCCCCTGCTGCTGATGCTGACGCCACTGTTCGCTCATAGTGGGCCACACGTGATGCTGCTGCTCGCCTTGCTGTGCGCCGCCACTTACGGAACCACTGAGCTGCACACTTTAGCCAGTAAAAGAGTGCTCAGACCTTGTACGACGCTGTAGTTGCACGCTACTCTTCCCCTGCCACTGCTGCACTAAGCCGCCTCATGCTACCGTACCTCTTCCCTGACCTTGCTGCCTTTCCCACAGTCGCTGACCTCATTACGCACCTCCGCACTAGTGACACTCGCTACCGCGCTGCGCTTCCTACTGAGTTCTGCGCCAAGAACCCCCCCCCCCCATGTACATCACCCTCTACTACATAGTCACCCGGCTCCCTGACTCTCTTCGGGTAGTCAGGGACCACTTCCTCTCAGTCTGCCCCACCACTCTCACCGTTGACCTCCTCGAGAAGGCCCTCCTAGCGATAGAGAAGAGCATAGTCGCTGTAGGAGCCTCTCGTGGTGACCCTCGCACCCCCATCTTTGAGGCGTGTTCTCCCTCCCCCCTCTTGCCCTCTGTTGCCTCTGCTGCTGCGGTCGACCTCGTTGGTTTCGAGTCGGTCGGCGTTGCGTCTGCCCCGAGCGGGAGACGCCGCACCGGCAAGGGCAAGGGGGGCAAGGGCACTGGAGGGGCTGGAGGGGGCGGTGGAGGTGGTGGTGGAGGCAGTGGAGGGAGTGGGGTTGGTGGTGGGAGTGGTGCCGGGGTGGCGGCAGCGGCGGCAGCAGTGGAGGCGGCGGAGGCGGTGGAGGTGGCGGAGGGAGCGGAGGTGGCGGAGGTAGTGGAGGAGGCGGAGGTGGAGGAGGCGGCGGAGGCGGCGGCGGCGGAGGCGGCGGTGGTGGAGCGAGTCACGACTCTGCGCAGGAGGAGTGGCGCCGGTGGGTGGTCAGCGCCTGCAGCAGAGCGGAGTGGTGTGACCCTGTCCCCTCAGCAGCTTCGTGAGTGGTACACTTCACGCTAGCAGCGGTGGGGGTTTGGTCCTTGCTCTTACGTCCTCCGTATCGGCGACCGCACTGGTGGCCCGCACTCCACCGAGCACTGCTTGGTCACCCGACGGACGCGTGGCGTCTCTAGTTCCCTGAGGCGTCAGAGATCCCTCGCTGGGGAGATCTGGCTAAGGCCGGGGTTGCTATCTTTGATCTTGACTTTGATACTATCCTTGCTGCCATGTATGCTGTTGATAGTAGTGTTGCTGGTGATTGTTACCTGTGTGTACCGCCTGACCCGGGCATTGAGGCTGCTGCTCTAGGTGCTGGTGAGGCTGCTGCTCTAGGCGCTAGTGCGTCTGCTGCCCTAGGTGCCAGTGCGTCTGCCGCACAGGTGCTGGTGAGTCTGCTCTCTCAGGTACTACGTCGGCTCAGGCCTTCCACACCTTCACCCTGGACTCGGGTGCGGTCCCGCTCCTTCTTTCGAGACCGCACCAGTCTTACGCCGCTTAGTCGGCCGGTTGCAGTCTCCCTGGCAGGACCCCTTCTGGGGGTCCTGTCCTTGCTAGCTTCTCCACTGTCCTTCCGTGCCCTGCAGCCCCCTCTGGCACCCTGTCTGGTCTCTACCTCCCCCGTTCTCTACGAACTTGGTGAGTGGAGCGGACCTACAGGATCGAGGGAATGACCAGTTCACTCTGCGAATTAGCGAGTGACCCAACTGCACGGTGTGCTTGGACAGGCCGACACTTGGCCATGTTCACCGTCGGCCAGGGTCGAGCCTGAACACCCTTACCTGCTGAGTCTCCTCCTACTGCTGAGTCTGCCTAGGTAGCTGCGTCGAGTCAGGTGTTTGCTGCGGCGTCCAGGTCCTAGTCCTGAGTCTGCCCCCCTACTCGTGTCGTCTGCTGTCCCACCAGGACTCTCCTTTGGCACCACCGCCTTGGTCACCCCTCCTTGCCTCGTCTCTGAGGCATGGCCTCCCGTGTCCTTGTCTCTGGTCTTCCTCGGTCTCTCCCTCCCCTTCCTCCGGGGCCCTGGCCCTACCTCCGTCCCCTGCGTTGAGGGGCGACAGCGCGCCACCCCTCAATCCTCCGAGTTTCCACCGACAGAGGCTCCGCTGCAGACCCTACACATGGACGTGTGAGGCCCAGCCCGCGTTAGTGGGCAGGGGCGAGAGC